CTTCGGGACCGATACACTTGGCAAACCAGTTGCAAACGTTCGAAGAGGCTCACCATCACCTTCAAGGCGATATAATGTAAAGCCGTCTGTTGCATTATCTACAACGAAAACGCCCCGCTTTGAGTACAACCGCAGCATGACCACTATATAATATGTCAGTAACGCGCCCCAGGTCGAGAGCGGTAGTTCCTCACATCACTGATTGCAGCTAATTTCTTGCACTATGTCGCCATCTTCATCCTTCAGTTTCATGCTGTTCGGCTCTCAGCATCAGGCAATGAAAGTATGCAGTGGAAGGACTGACAAGTTGCCATCATAGAGCCCGAACACATAGATGCTCCGGTTGTCTGCGAACACTACCGACTTGGGCACCGTATTTTCAAGTCGCACTGCGAAGACGGGCTGGAGCTGCGAGCTTGTGTTGAGCGTCAGAACCTGAAACCATTTTGGTCTCTAGTTCCGACTACAATTTGTAGGTTTCCTTCAGAGGAAGTTGAACACCATGACAAGCATGTGATCTCAAATCCTGATCCCAGTCTCCTGGCGCATATTTCCTGGAATTTTTCCTGTTGGCGTCAATGGACAGTCGAACAGCAAACCTAGGCACTTACATCTGTGAGACTGCGTCGTAAACATACGATATAACCCAGGCCTGTTCCATAACAGAGGGTTTCTGCCACGGTTTTCGTAGTCGTGGCCCAGATTGCGCAACTGACTGTTCCCCTTGATTCATGATGATTGGACGAAGATGTGAGTTCTTTCCGAGATTTGATATCCCAGATTTTGATTCCCTCGGTACCTGTTTGTTTGTTAGCCCTGTCTATGACCGAGTTTCTGCTTTCTTACCACCCGCATGCAAGCAGGTGTCCATCATTAGAAATCGCAAGTGCATGGATAGAGCCATTATAGGCAGTTAAACGAGCGAGCAGCTTGTAACGCAGTGGCTGCGCTGACTTGTTGAAATATGCAAGGAAAGACATTATGATATAATCCGCTGTAGTCGCCCGCTCACAATGTATTTATCTGTACTTCTCATTTGTTTTCAAATACTTTGTATCATTTACCCGTATTTGTTTTCCGTATTTGTTTGATTCCATGGTAACTTCATCGTCGACAGCCATTTGTGTAGTGCTATTCTTCTTATTCTTCTCTTGAGATACGCTGATGCGGCCCTATTATTCTTATTCTTATTCTTTACAAGCGCTAATCTTGGTTACCATTTTCGAAGCCCCTTATTGTTTTCGCTCAATATGGTAATCTGTTGAATACTTTACCTCTCATGAACCATCCTTAAGTTCCAGGTAGCTACTCGGTTCTTTCTCTATCATGCGCAGTACTACAGTTGTTCCACCTTCTATGACTCGGAGCCTGGGCTCCACCACCTCTTCCCCCGAAATCCTAGTTCCTCAAGCTAGTATCATTCCCACTGCAAAGGCTTCGTCGTCTACACCCGCCCCTGAATTCAAGCTTGCGAAGCCGATGCGCAAGCATTCTGATTGCTATTCCTCTCCATACACCAAGAAAGCCACTTCCAATTCCACGCACCCCCATTCTCGAATGCCTTCACCCTCAGATTCCTCAGGCTCTTTGGATTCTTTCTCAGATAGCGACTCCTCAACTTCGAGCGTGAGTTTATCAGAAGACTCAAAGATTCCTAAACCTGCCGGTGAACCTGGGCGTCCGGGGCGTGGGGGTTACACACTTCGTGAAGCTTTAGATTGGAATCCAAAGTCATACGCAAAATTCAAGGTTTGCAAATTGTCATTGTACCCTTGGTATTGCAAATTAACTGATGAATTCCTAAGAGGTCTATGCATAGTCTCATCGACAACCACCTTGACACGACAAAATGCGCGTCTGCCCAAAGTCCCATGCTATTGGAAGTCGTGTGTGGCAAGGTGAACAGTTTCTCTGAGTCTCGATATTGTCAATAAACTTATCATCTCAGGCGCTCGACAACTTCCCAGACCTTGACAATTATACCAACTTGTGGCCAGTCAACGATTTGATCATGACACGCCTGAAATACACGTCTGGACGCGCGAGACGAAAGGAGGGAGAAATGGCTGTAGGCAAGAGCAAGGCCAGGAAGTGATACCCCGACTGCATTATATGTCTCCGTCATTATTACGTGCTGTATGCGTTCTATATTAAGCTGGCATTCCAAAAATCAAGCATGTTCAAGACAGGATGGATGGAATACCAGAAACGCCCAAGCAACGGAGATGTTTCGCGCATCCTTGGCTTAAAAATAACAGGTGTAGAAAGATTAGTAACCTTGAGTTTTACGCGCATCAGGAAGAGCGAAACTACATCATGCAAGTTGTCTGCGAAGCTACCCAGAACCCGTCAGTATCAGTTCAAGCCGGTGCTTTCGAATGTTTAATCAAGATCAGAACGGATCTTGTTTGTATATCTGCAGTCCAGCTGAGAAATTTGGTATGTAACAATGCAAATTATACTACTACTCTACACCTTGCAGCTGACCGACAATTGGCATGAGTCCTCAAGGGTTTTACAAGAGTAAGATCGCGTGGGAGCCTAGCTCTTGGACGACTACTTATGCTTTGCGCAAAGCTGAAAAGATAGTTATGGTAGGCTCAATAGATCATTGAGTTTACTCACTGGTGAATTAAAAAATCAGCAAGCGCATTATCTCTGCCTCACATGTTCACAACAGAGGGATAGTTGACTCCAACCCTCATAACAACTGCATCGCCTCGGAACTTATGACCACCCGTACTAAGAAGCACATTGGCTCGGAGACGAAGATGTCACTTGAAGAAGATGCAGAATCGATGGATGTATCTCCCTTCCCACACATTCACGAAACAGTTGTGAACATAAGGCTGCACTGCAGCCTCTTCGAGAAGGCTTTCTGGAACAGGAAAACACTGAGCAGCGCATGAGCGGCCAGAGCAACTCGTCAACATAGTGACCTGACGGGGTCTGGTCCACGATGCTGAATATAGCCTGCACCGCAGGTGAAGCTCCGGGGTCTGATTTGAAGGTAAATAAAGGGTGTGAGGTAGTAAGCGATAACTCACAGCAGATGTTGGAAGGATAAATGTGCGAGTGTTTACCATCTGATGATTATAATTCGATCAAGCAATAATCTAAGAGGTGGGCAATGAATGTGGGCAATGAAAGCGGGCGATGGAAGCAGGCTATAGCAGTGATCCGTCTTTTAATAACTTCACATGCTGAGTCAACAGACAATAACCATAATCGTTTCGGATGTAGTTGACGACAAAAATAGCGGGGAGCCAAAAAAAATTATAGCGGGGAGCCAAACCGAAGCATTGCAATGATAATCCTAGTTGTCAAGGGTAATTGTTAATTGTGCGAGGTAATTGTAAGAGCGAATAGAGCAAAAGATAATTGAAAGTGATGGAGATGGGCCTGGACCTGTTGGAACTGTTGTTCATTCATACAACAAGACATCTAGAAGAATCAAGACAAAAATGCATGCACGAAACTTAAAAAGACCCAGGAATGATGTTTGCAAACTAACAATGAATTATTCCCCCGCTATAAGCGCCAATAACATTGACGTCGACATGCAGCATCCTGAGTTTCAGCAAGAAGACGTACAAATGTCTCATGACGCGGATTTATTTGGTGACGATGAAGACGATGATAAGGGTCCTGGCGACTTCATGGATGTTCTCAGTCAGCCTCCCACCCCAGTGTACCGCGACTCAAAAAAGGGCGAGGGGAGGGGGGGGGGGCCAGAGAGGAAGTGGTATGTAGATAGTACGAATCAGCTTCCATGACTCATGATACCCATCCAGATATCTGGGAAGCGTCGCATTCAGGAAGTTGACTATTCACAGGTACTTCGCCAGACTGTGTATGAACAACAAGAACGTATTAACAACATTATAGAGGAAACTGAAGTGGTACGCACGAGAAGCTCATTGGGGATACACTGCTGATCATACCGGCAGATACGCCGAGAAGCTCAAGACCACATTGAGGAGCAACGACGTCTTGCAGAAGAAGAGCATGAGCGCCACACACGCCGATTTCAACGAGCGATGGGAAAAGGCTCTGAGAGAGCGAGAGCGGGAAAAGCAAGTAAGTGCAACAGATGCATTCAGTCAGATGCATGCTTACAAGTTAATAGGAAATTCACACATGGCAAGAGCAGCAGCAAGCACTGCTGAGGAAAAATGTTGCTGAAGAACTAGCACAGCATGAAGCAAAAATAAGTGCAAAAAAAGACCGAGAGGTGAGAAAGAACGACTGACCAAGGAATTACTAATGATGGCAAGTAGTTGGCTGAAGAACTGGCACGACACAACGCAGATTTAGATACAAGAAAAAATCAAGAGGTGGGGAAGAACGACTGAGCACGGGAATCGCTAATGATGTCAAGCAGCTAGAAGAACGCGAGAGAGCCATTTTTGCCGAAATGGAGCGAAGGCTACAACTAGAAATAGAAAAAATGAGGGTAGAAAAAGAGAACGAGCTCGCTAACATGGAGCAGCGCTTTGCAAGACACGGTAGGCAACAGCATGCGGCCACGGAAATCGGCACAGACCCCACCCGAAGGAACGCTCAACAGCCACCCCACACGCCCCAGAAACCACAGCTCAAGACTCCGTGCCTCGAGACGATCAAAAAGATCAGGAAGGCGCGTGGAACAACACGCAAGATGTGTCTGGTATCTGTAGTAGAGGTAAGTACTAAGCAGTCGGAACTTGTTTTAAACTCACATCATAGCAGGACGCTGACGAGCCTATGGAAACGCATCGAGAACGATCATCGACAATTGAGCAAGAGCCACAGCGATTTCAGCCTGACAACGTCTACCCTATGTCTGCGATGGAAAACACGATCTCCAAAGGCATAGAGGCGGCACTCAGACGCATCCTCGTCGATAAGGATATTTTGACATCCAGGAAGCATAGTCCTCGAAGGAAAAAGAAGCAGGATGATGAAATTAGGATAGAAAGGGCCGCAGATTTGAGCCACGAAAGAGACTTCCTTCTTGTGAGAGTTGAATTTTTGATGTATATGCTGATGCTAAGCATGAAGTAGGGTGAAATCCGGCGTCTCCTCAAAGATACCTTCAGTATATCTCAAGATGCAGATTTTATTGTGCACCAGCCAGCGGATCGTGGAGATGTGTACTCATACGAGTACGAAGATGGCCCAGGCCCCAACACCCAGAATCTGGCCTTTGATCTCAAACACGGATTTAACACCCCCTGGAATGCGAAAATTCTCGATATTCTCCTTGAATAATTGAAAAAGGGGAGTGTAGAAGAGGAGTGGCCGTTCCGGAGGTCGGATGCCTATTATAAGGCGATACTCGAAGAACGCTACAAGCGGATGCGGATGGTCTGGAGAGCAGCCCAACCAAAGGTTACAGCAAAGGGCTGCTTGGAGACTGCGGAAGAAGTGGAGGAGAGGTTGATTGCAAAAAGAGGTGAAAATCTGAAGTCAGTTCGTCAAACAACTCGTCGGTGAAATGTATGTCCACAGCATGATCTCAAGGCTCTTCAGATACTAATGCATCTATAGAAATATCTCCGCAGAGCAAAAGTCCTGGAGCAAGTTATTGAGCTGAAGAAAGATGGCGAGGATGACGACCTACCAGCTTGGCAGTGGCTTCAAAAACTAGTCAAGACGCTGGGAGACGGGGGTATGAGTTCAGAAGAAAGTGATATCGAAAACGACGTCGAATGTGTGCTCCGGGTCAAGAACATGGCATGGCGTCGCGGGATAGAGCGAGAACTGAATATCATCGATAATCAGAGGGTCTTGGATAATGATATTTTCAGCGCCCCAGGGTTCCAAACCAATGAAGAGGATATGCGCATTCGGGAAATTCAATGACTGTACTGGAACCCGGTCACTGGATTACCCAAGGCCCTATACAACGGCAGATGGATTGATGGTCTTACTGGAGGTCAGGTAGAAAGGTTGAATGTGTCAGATGAGACGTTCCTGATGGATGAAAGTTGGTGTAGCATAGCAGCGTGTTGAATATACGGTGTACGTGAACCGCAGGGAACGGAAGATAAGTCAATTCCCCCTCCACTGTATGTACGGTGGAGGGGATGACATATGTTAACGGCTGGCTGGATCGTTGCGAGAGCGAGTTAGCCATTGCCCACTCCACTGTATGTACGGTGGAGGGGATGATGTGTGTTGACGGCTGGACATGTTGGTTGATTAATGGTTGGATCTGTCAACAAATGGGCTTACCTGACTAACGGGCCAGCGTGATCTAAAGGATCGCAGTAAGCGAAGGCGGATGACCCGGAGTTGATGGCTTGATCATTCCGCGAAAAAGGATGGAGTTGGCGAGGTGGTGGGTGGTAATGGGATAGGAGACACAACAGTACATACCGTCGTGCTCCGAAGATAGGAACGATGAACGATGAACTCGATGAGCACGACAGTACATACTGTCGTGCTTCGAGGATGGGGACGATGAAGTAGCTCGAGAGAGTCGACAGTACAAAGTTCAAACTGAGTCAATGTTATGTAACAATTCCCTAATATGGGTGTTTGTGATTGTTGGGCGCTTTCGTCGCCAAAGTTCTAAGTCCTATGGAACTTAGTACTATTACTCTAGGAGGTTCGACGGTTTGTACTGTCGAGCCTCCCATTCTCCTTGTCGACAACGACCCTTCCTCACCTTCTTCCAGGGCATGACTGTATGTACGGTCGTGCCCGGTGTTCTCTACTTTCATCGTCACCAGATGTCTCGTCGCAGCGACCTTTCACGACCTTCTCCAGGGCATGACTGTATGTACGGTCGTGCCCGTTCATCGCCACCGCCAACGTCCTAATTCTAAGTCAACATCCATCGGCTTCCTGGTTCGACGTCCATGGCAGCCCTTCCCGCCCGGCGTTCTTTGCCAACTGATCAGTCCACACCAAGCTCAGGTCCTCTCAGGTCGCCGCCAGCTCTCCCTGACAACAGAGTTATATCCTTGTTTGGTAGTTCTTGTAATGAACAGTCATATTTTCGTACAAGGCTTACTGCTGTCTTGTTATTTCATTACTGGAAATTGCGAGTTGTTTCTTTTATCGTTGTTGTTCGTCTGACTCAAAAGCTTGCCTACGCAGTCGTTTCTTGCTCTCCAATTCACTCTTATCAATTCATAGAAACGACGGTACATACTGTCGTTGCTATTCACCCCGTTCTTCATGCCTGTGTCTCGCTCACTGTTCAAACGGTGCTTCTGTGAGGAATGCATCGAAACCGGTGATCGTGCTGAGGATGGCACGCCTAAGGGGGTACTCATTGCAGAACGTCTTATGGCTGCACATTTACAACGCACCAAACGTACCCAAGCAGAACATGCTGCCGCTGGCTCTCCCCGCACAAACGCCATCACGGACTTGTTAGTCTCACAGCTGGACGCACTCGCTCTTATCGACAACAAACCGCCTGTTTCTCACCCCAACCCCACTCCACCATTATCTATTACGGCTCTCGCGGATGATCTTGAGCAACTCACTTTGCTAGATCATTTTGTTGCCCGTGAACCCAGAGTCGCTATTTCTGGCGACGTCTCCCAAAAGAACATACATCGGCCAACTGTGAAGGCCTTGATGGTCCTCGATAACATAGAGTTCCGCGTTCAGCGGTGCTTTCGGTTGTTACTTGCGGGTAATTCCAATGATGTTGGTCGCGAGCTACTATTGCTTCGCACAGCTGTGGAGTCCGTCAAACGAAAAGCAGACATTGTGGTCACACGGAAGAGGGCAATTATGTTGGAGATAGATGGCTTAGAAGCTCAGTTCAACAGTCAAAAGCCTCCCGAAATGGACTTATGTGCAGCAGTCGAATTTGATACCAGTAAGAGTTGATTATCTTCATCGTGATCGTGTTCTGAATAGTCAATAGATGTTCACCATGATTTTCCGCTGGATCAGTGTGATGAAATCGCACAGGTCGCCTTATTCATCACTGTGACGTGTAAAGTCATCATGGGGGTCAGCAAGCGAGCCTGCGATTTCCTCTTGGGACTTATTTCAATCATGTTATTCCTCGCTTTCCGGAGATTGGATGGTAGCCTCAGCTCTTCCCATCAAAATGTGCTCAGGCAAATTCCAAAGAGTTTCGACACCGTGCTCTCAAGATTCCATCTCACTGAGAAAACTGTCGTCTATGCAGTCTGCCCCAGTTGTTACTGCACTTACAGCCCACATCATGCAGACGGCTCAACTGTTCCTACATATCCTGAACGTTGCACACACCACCCCACGCCAGAGGCCGAATGTGGCGAGTCATTGCTCAGCCCTGGCCCTGATGGAGTAGTGCGACCGAAGAAGACATTCATTTACCACGATTTTAAAGACTACCTCGCCGGTCTCCTCTCCCGTGCAGATATTGAGGGGGCGATGGATCAAGCCTGCGATGATTTGCAAGACTCGATCAATTCCCCCCATCCGCCTTTGATGAAACACGCATTCGAGGCTCAGTTTCTCCGTCAATTTTGTGGCCCAGACCCAGGTTCACTTTTTATTGATAGAGGAGATGAAGGGCGCTATGCTTTCGCCCTTTTCGTGGACTTCTTCAATCCAGAGGGCATGAATTTGCGTGGTGCCAACAAATCCTCTGGCATCATCTCTATGGCATGCTTGAATCTACCATTGGATATCAGGTATAAGCCCGAAAACATGTATCTTGCAGGAATCATCCCAGGTCCGAAACAACCGTCCCTCGAGCATCTCAATCACTACATCCGGCCACTTATTGATGACATGGTAGACTCATGGGAGCGCGGCATCAATTTTTCCAAGACTGCTTGTTTTCCCACTGGCCGGCTCGCTCGCAGCGCTATTGTTTTGGCAGTTTGTGATCTTCCTGCCGCTCGTCATCTTGCTTCTTTAGCTGGAACCAGTAGCCATTTTTATTGTAGCGCGTGTAATTGCTACCATAAGACCACATACGGTAGAGTGGACTTCGAAAGCTGGAAACCTCGTGACATCAGGAAAAAGGGAAAAAGTCTTAGCCATCTTACCTCACTTACAGAGACTTAATTCGACGTTAAGTTCACTAAGTTGTCAAAGCAAATCATTTCAACTTAATTTCTGCTTGGAGGATTGTTCACAAAGGAAACACAATAATAGTAAGTAATGAATGGCCAAAATTCAGCACGGAGGCTGCAGAAAAGCGTGTTCAAGTAAGAAGTTTATTTATAAGTAATCAACACCATGCTGCGATGTAACTAAGTCAATAGGCGCTATGCGAAGTACTTCCTAAGCCGACAAAGTATATAATATGTAGTCCTAATGGTAGCATTATCCAGCCAATAAGAATAAGTCAGTATCAAGTCACCAGGCAATCTCAAATGCCTGATGGTCAATGTATTTATTTACATAGTAAGTGCGGAAAGCATCAAGGGTCTGTGTGTAAGAGAGATAAGTAGGTACAAATTCATGCCCAAATACAGGCATAAGGTGTGCCGCACGAAAAATGCAGTCAAGGTGAATGACAGAGGCAAATTGTGTCCCATCCTCGCGGGTTTCAGGCTCTACTACCCACATTCCTGTGTTCTCATCTGGTGAGTCGTGCACGTGTTTGAACCAATGCACAAATGCACAAGGGTAATGTACACCATTGTGTTTAAATGAAAAGAAAAGCCTTACTTGAGCGATATCGAAGCCACGCATACCCTCGACAGTGGGATCAGTACTAATGAAAACACAGTCATATCGACCAGGGCCGTTCCTCCAGGTATCCACGGCACGAATTCGCTCGTAGCGCATACCGCCGATGCCTGAGACATCACTGGGAGCGAAGAAGGTGGCAATGGCAGATGTATACAGAGTTATTTTTTCATGTAGTTCGGGAAGGGCACTGGACGAGCCAGCGCCAGACTCGGAGGCTTCTGAGTTGGAGTCAGAACAATGGAGCTGGTCATGTAAAAATCGCTGAATGTGAGTGGTGAGTTCCGGTTCACCAATTTGATCTGCGAGTAGGTCTGCGTAGATCCGTTTTGCTAAAAATTTGTTGTAAGTAAAAAGCACGCCAGGTAAATGTACTACTCCACTCACCAGATTTCTTCGCCAAGTCTACATGAGCTATCACCGTCGGTCCAGCAACAGCGTCACCCTCGAGCTCAGCATCTTGGTCTGCATCAGCCTCCAAGTCGGCATTCACGTGATTGTTGCGTCCGAGATGGGGAATGTCAATCGGCTCGTCCTTGAGCCGGACTTGAATGGCTTCTGCATTGTGCACTGGAGCGTTTAGCCCTGTGTGTGATTTGTGTTAGTAATATTAGTGGTCAAATGCTAGTAGACGTACCGAGTTTATCAAGGATATATGATAGACATGTTCCTGTTAGCATCCCACGGCTAGCAAAGTCAACACGAGACGCCGCTAACTTATCTAGACGTTGATTTGTCAGTAACATCTGATTGAGGGCTTCGAACCGACTGGACCGTCGCCACGGCTCCTTGACAGCCTTGATATGTTTAGATTCTGTGATGGAAGAACAGAGTCCGTTTGGTGCGCCAAACGATCGGATCATTTTGTGGTAGTGGATAAGCGAGTGTTGTCGAGGGAGGTTGAATCCATTAGGGCGAACACCGGATGTTTCAAATATTTCGCGGTGCCTGTGGAAACGCTCGAGTGCATCATCCAACGCATTGAGGCTGTTGGAGTCGATGATATTGCGCCGCGCGATGTACACAAAATCAATTAATGCTTGCAAAGTCAGCACCATCTCCGGAGGTACGTGGCCTTCAATCGCAGGTATATACACCTATAGTAGTAAGAATACACGTTAGTCAACACTACTCGTGATGATGGAACACCCGTTCATCGACTCGAACGTACCTTCATAAGTGCTTTGGAATCATCTCCCGTCCACTGTTTGAAGCCCCTTCCCTCCGGGAATCGTCGAAGGCCCGCAAATGAGGGAGCAAGAGCAATACTAGTTGTAGAGTGCAGTCAATACCAGTCATTGCAACCCAGCATGTTGAAAATTGGACTTACCGGTGATCAATATCATCTAATATTATATTCACCTCGTTTTCCGAGTACCGAGCCTTAATGTATTTGTGGACCCAGGTGACGATATGGTCCTTGAACGCACCCTTTATCAGCTGATGTAAAATGTCGGGGGAGAGGAGTTCGTGAATGTCGGCTTGCGGGAAATAGTTAGTGAATGGCTGTAGAACACATAGTATATTGTAATTTGTCAGCTCGCACAATGACTACAATAATGAAGGTACAAACCACGATGTCTCCTACAAGTCCATATTCGTCCCATAGCACACCTAACTCGAATTCCTCCACCAAGACTTCGGTATGGTTGCGGGAACGCCGACCATAGGTACCATTGTCAAGACCATCAGCCGGAGCAGTACATCTGGATGGATGTGTAGTAAGTAGACAGTACTAGCATAACATGAAGAAATACATACTTTGGGCACCAGTTTTGAACGATGCAAGCGAGCAATGCTTGCTCGGGATAATCGGCAATATATGGTCCAAGGCCATACACCGCACATCGAAAATGACCATCGGGGGAGCGTACAACCTCGGGTGTTGTCATACCTGGTTTGAGGGATTCCAGCATCTTCGCCAGCGATGAGTGGAGAAGCTGATGGTGGAATTTTCGAAAGTGTGCGTCTTTGGCGGACTCCTTGTCAGCTAAATATATGCATCTAATTAGCGCCAGCAACAGACAACATCAAATTGAAACACGTACTTGTCAGGATGGCTAGGAAGCCCAGCAATACAACACTGTTGCGGTGTGCACGTCGCACGTTGTTGCGGATGTTGCCGATCGACATATAAACCGGCCAGTACTGGTTGTGTCCAGTAGCGACGGAGACAGTAGTCTTGTCGCTGCCAAGGATTATTGGAACGAACATAGATCCAATTGTATTGGGATCCTCGGCAATCAAATCCTGTGAATTGTGAGAGATGAGAAAATTGGAAAAAGGATGAAAAATGGCTTACGGCCTGCTTCCAACACCAATCACCGGACATAAAGTCCTGAAAGCGATGTGCTCCGTTGCTGGTATCATACTCCTGTAGTGGAGTGTAGTCGAATTCGCCTTCGAAGTCTGGGTTGGAGAGAATGTTGTGCACGAGGATCCGAGGATCTCGGAACCACACATCATACTCGGATGTCATCCATGTCGGAATGTCACCTTCAGGTAGAGCACCATTATATTCAGAGCTAAAACTCTGCCAGGCGACGTCACCTAGAGGCGTCGAATCAATGACGTTGTACATCTCAACGTGGTTTGTGAAGGGCGGTGTTTCGCCATGAGCCGCTAATGAGGCGGCCCACAGGTTGAATATAAAGTCAATATCGCCCCCCGACATCTGGTTGCGACGGTAGAGGAAGTCTGCGACTTCGAATTCGACTCGATTAGCATATGGTGTCCAGTTGTCTGGTCCACGATTTGATGGACGCGGAGGTGGCGGAGTATTCGGTGGTATGTCATCTCCGTGTTCATCGCAAATTCTCCCTTCATATGGAGAAGAGTATACAGTGAGCACAAGTTTGGATGAGCGTCAAGTGAAATTAACACGCACCATTGATATTAGGATGATATGTTCTGGTAACACCAGGAACTTGAAGAGGAACACTACCATCTCGACTCGCCTGGCCAATGGAACCAGCACCACTTGAAGGGCGTTGATCTGAGCTGTTCATACCTGCCTCATTGGCAGCATCATCATGAAAGCCATACCCACGTCCATTTGACTCTGGCAAGTCAAACTCCATTTGATCGTCGCGACTCCCAGGTGCTTCAAGTTGTTCGTCACCTGCGCTAGTCTGAGTTGGGCTGCGTGAATGCATGCGTGCTGAGCTTGTTGCAGCATGTCCGGTGCCAGGTCGGGATGACTGGGAACGTCGTGAACTCGACTCGGAGGAGGAATGGTGTGATGACGGGACGTCGGGTTCTTCAGATGCCAGTGGATGCTGGGATTGCATATGAGTGGTGCGCCCTGACCTGTTGTAAAAACGGCGGATACAGCCCGTCACTAGGCATGGTAGCGTGGGTTGAGGGCGGCCAAGGTTGTGTATATTGTGCGCACGAAGGTTGCCATTGGCCCGCATCATAAGATAGTGCCGATGGTATTGTAGACTCGAATGGGGCCCATGAGTCTGGCGTCGGAGGTGTAACTTCGAGTTGACTTTATACAAGGCCTGGTAAATGCGCAGGAGAACATCATGCATGCGAGTACTTACAAGTAGCCAATGGTAACATGATCTGCCCAGGGTTGATGCAAGGTGCGCCCATGAATAACTTCCAGCCACACAACACGATGTGTTCAGGGTTGATGCAAGGCGCGCCCATGAATAACTTCCAGCCACCACCGAGAGCATGATGGAATGCGTTTGACATGCGAAGACGATCACCTATCTTGATGAGAGGAAGGCCAAGAGCATGACGGAATGCGTTTGACATGTGAAGGCCACAGACATGAGACTCCCCCCCCCCTCTCAAGTCTAAACACACACAAGGTGCGCCTGATCCTTCCAATCTTCTGAAGCAGGGAGTTGCGGCACACATAGCATCTATAACACAGCAGTCAGCACACCGCAGTTACCAACCGGACATTAAATGGAAACCTCACCATTCAAGTTAAGCATATCACAATCGTCCACCTTGATGAGAGGAAGGCCAAGAGCATGACGGAATGCGTTTGACATGCGAAGGCCACAGAAGTGAGACTCCCCCCCCCCTCAAGTCTAAACACACACAAGGTGCGCCTGATCCTTCCAATCTTCTGAGGCAGCGAGTCACGGCAAACATAGTAGCATCTATAATACAGCAGTCAGCGCACCACAGTTTACTAGGAGCTAGAGGAAACATTACTGGTACTAGGATGTTGGTCACCAATGAAGATTTGAATTGTTGGTATCGATGTTGATAGTCGGTGATTGTCGTCTCCTTCAAGCCCTGGCAAGTTCGGAAAGAATTCGACATCGATAAGTAGAAATATATGGTCGAAGGCGTGGAGATATGAAGGAATGGAACTCGGGCACTCAGGCCGAAGAGCGTGCTGTTGAGGCGTGGCAAATTAGCAAGTCAAATTACATTGAAGTCCCGATTCGAACATCTTACTTGTAAACGCGTCTTCTTGATAAAGCCTTTGCGTCCTGCAAGCTCGCCCCCATCTACTCCTGCTATGTCTACTCGACGTGTCACCCGTGCAAAAAATGCAACTCAGCATCCGGGTATCCCAGACATAACCCCGAAGAAGAAACGCCGTACTGCAGAAGAAGTAGCTGCTGAGCGTCAGTCTAAGTTAGATGCTAAAGAAGAGAAAGAACGCACCAAGAGAGCTAGCATCAAACGTGTTGCTAAATATGAGAAGAACCAGGCGGACCAGGATGTGGTGACCGATGCTACACCGCGGGCTGCGCTGCCCAAGCCAAAGCCAATCCCAAGCAAGAGGAAGGCTGTTGTGGCGCCTCCTGCTACCAAGAAGAAGGTTACGCCTCCTTCAGATGCCGAGATGAGTGATGCACGAGCTGCACCTTCGGTACCAAGGCCAAGGCCAAAGCCAATTCCTCGCAAGCAGAAGGTAATTGTACAGACTCCCGCTGCGGAGGACAACGGGTTTCTGTCGGATGCTGAGATGGATGATGCGGCTGCTGATAGCAGCGCCTTCAACCCCGATCCAACCCAACATTCAGGCACGGTGACCTCGGACATAGACGCAGATGGGTCTGATAGTGCAATGCCGTCGTCGCCGCCCAGGAACCTGCTTGGGCCGATGATTCCGACGATGTGGAGGAACTCAAGGCTGCCCAGATGACCATGATGATCCAAAGTCTCCGAACGACAACAACTTCATGGTACTAGACAACAACAACAACAACAACAACAACAACAACAACGGCCGTTATGGTCATTCTGAGGAGCCCAAACTTGTACGGCGCGCAAATGCTGGAAAATTAAAGCTCATGGACCAAGATAGCAAGACCCATCATGTCATTCAGCGAGCGATACTGGAAGCGAAGGTTCATATGACCTTCGTCAATGGCTATCCAGACATTACAAAGAAAAATTGATTCACGCGAGATGCACTCTTAACTGCAGCTCGCACCTGCGGCGTCACACCCATCTATGATCGCATCAAGACTAACAACTCGTATGCATCTGCACTTGCAACGCTGGTAAGTCATAACTTTGCAAGGGGTGCTCCTACAAATTATATGCAGGTTGATGCTCGAGTGCCGCTTTTCGCACTGAATTGAAAGATGACGCTTGCGCACAAGTCACAGCATATTACCGTCTTCGTCCTGATTGTGTTGATACTAAGGCTTTGC